ATCTCTAAGGGTGGAGAAGATTTGACAAATACTATACTACTTAGATTATTTTTTATTTATACCTAATGGCAGGCGTTTTGATGGTTATCATTAGCCCTTTAGTTGACTTCAGGCTTCACAGAGAGGAAGGAACATCAAAGAGGAACAAAGTCGAGACTGGGTGAGGAACAGAAGAGGGTTTCAAAGATGTAAAGGAGACAAACAGATACGAAAGTAGAAAAGGTGAGGTGAGTACTGTGGAAGTGGTCGAATATGACATACAATGAGGTGATAGTAGTTTGAAGTCAGAAGTCAACTGCCGGTTTATAGACATTTTACCGTATGAGTATACGTTGCCCAGGGTGCACCAGGTGGAGGTAAGTCTATCGCACACCCACCCCCCACCCCCCTCCCCCCTAGGTAGATTGTTAGAAGCATGAAATTTCTTTAAACCGAATTTCGAGATTATTTCTAACATGTGTCATGACTGGCGAAGTGGTATCGTGGCACCACCCTAACGACCACTACGCTACCGGAAACATTGGAGACCAGGGCAAAAGTTCAAGCTTTTTAGAACTTTTGACCCAAACATCCCAAGAAGTAGGAAGGTAATGTTCCATGTTTGGAGGATGTAAAAACGGTATGAATCAGATTCCTTGAAAACGGAGGAACCCACTACACCTGACCCCCAGAATTATCAGATTAACTCATCACGTCTTATCTTATCTTGTTGGGACAATTTCATATGATTTTCAAGTTGTTCCTTTGCATAGTCCACCTAATTGGCAAGATTGATCGTACCAAAGGATAAACTTTTGGTATGTGGTAATTGAGTCGTCAGTACCTTCTACCACCATATATAAAATTCTCTTTTAAGCACTCTTTTCACTTAGCAGTTACGTCCATCGCCCATCACTGATTCACCAACATGAATCATCGATTTACGCTTTTTCTCTGACTTGCACTTCTTTAATATATAGATTGCCTTTCATGTGAAAGTTTGTTATCTACCCCATTGCCGATTTCTGCAGAACATCCCAATTACAGTAAACTTATTATCGGCACTGTTGAAATTCAGTCAGGAGGTAGCGTAGGCAACGCTCAAACGTATATTTAAGCCGTTGCTAATTCCTTTGAAGTAGAACGATGGTGTTTCGGGTATTTTCGTATCGATTCAGTCTAATAAATGGGTGTGATTTACACGTTAAGTCGAGTAATTGTAGGTTCTTAACAATGCCAGATAGCATATTTTTGCATTTTACCTGTTTAGACCGGAAGTTTACCAATTGAAGCGTTTATATCGGTCTAGTTTCTATTTAACTCGCATATCGAAGAAAAATATCCAGGACTTATAATAAAATCATTAATCGATCAATACAAATCAATATGCTTAATGTGACCTAGGCTATCGATTTTGAATTTGACAAAGAGGAAAGCGTAATTTGAAGTTACTTAGAAAATTGCTCACAATTCGCTTGATTTGGGGACTACTGATTTGTTTTAATTTCATTGAAATGGGGTGTGCGGTAGACTTACCTCCACGTGATGTACCCTGGGCAACGTATACTCATACTGCAAAAAAGTCTATCAAACCAGCAGATGACTTCTGACTTTAAACTACCACCACCCCACTGTATGTCATATTCGACCACTTTCACAGTACTCATCTTATCTTTTCTCTGCCTTTGTGTCTGCCTGTCTTGTTTACACCAGTGAATCATTATTCTGTCCCTTCTCTCGAATTTTTTCACTTTGATGTTCCTCCTCCTCTCTGTGAAGCCCGAAGTCAGCTACATGAATGCCATTTGAAATAAATGAATAAAAAATATCTTTGAAATAATTCCGGGTTTAGTCGTAATTCTTTCTTTTATTTAATTTATTAAAGTAATTTTTCTACAAATCTTGCTGCACTTGATAAATGAATTAAGAAACGAATATTCTCACCAAGCGCCCAATCATTTTATAAGACGCAGTTCGTGTTTCGGCTATGTTGAATGGTTAAATATCATAATTGCTGAATTAATGGCTGAAAAATGTTCTATTAGAACGTAAATTAGTAATACTTTCGGTTACAATCTGACATTTCTATATTTCTTCATTTGTGCTGGATAGACTTACAAGCACGTGGTTCGCCCTGGGTAACGTATACTCATGCGACAAAAAATGTCTATAAACCAGAAGTTGACTTCTCACTCAAACTACCATAACCCGACTGTATGTCATAAACACACCAATTTCACAGTACTCACATTACCTTGTTCTCTACATTTGGATCCGTCTTTCTCTTTTGCATCTGTAAATCACGTTTCTGTTCCCTCTCTCGGCATTTTGTCGTTTTGAAGCTCCTCACCTCTGTGAAGTCCGAAGTCAAGTATTATGCTGATGAAGATTATCATAAAGCCTACCATTTGACATAAATAAATAAATGTTTCTCCATAAAAAACTTCAATGTACGTCTAGAAGGGGGAATAGCAATTTTCCCCAAATATCCTTACATTTCTGGAACCACCAAAATTGAGCTCTTTCAAAGACTTGTCCGTTTTAAATCTCCAAAGAAAGTCGATTCTTTAATTGCGAAATATATTTTTAAACTCCGAAAAAGTTGGAAAACCCGTTTCGATAAGTTCTTTAATCAAAGCGACGAAAATTGCACTTCAGACCCAAGTTTTATTATTAGTAAATTAGTCATAAAAATTTGAATAATTGAATAATAATTTGAATAATGGTGCTGTGAAGACCTATCTTGAAAGTCGTATTCTAAGCCGGGGTGTTAAGATATTTCAAGCTTGTGGGGGCCGGCGAAAAGCTTTAGCATTAGTCATGCATAACTAGGAGGCTTAGGAAGTGGCTAATTTATTCTCAAGTTTTTTTGGCCAAAGCTAAACTAATTCTCCCACTTTGAATGTCAGCGCGTAAACGTGGAGTAGGACTGCGAAAATTTAGAAAATGGGGGAGGATTTTGATTGGTTAATTGTTAAGCCAATCATCAGGTAGAGAAGAAAGCCGGGGTGACAGAGGACCAATTACAAGGCGACAAAGTCCTCGGTTATCTGCATGAAGGCTAAGGAGGATGGCCTTGCTCTAATCGCTTGATTCTTGAGTTGCATCAGAGTTTGTTGTAAGTCTCCATTTACTATTCATTGTATTTACACCAATTTCATTAAAAGTTCTACTATTTATGCCAAATGGGTGTTTTTTGTGAGTACTTGAAATTTATTCAATTATCGCATTTTTGTTTGGGGGTGGGGGAGCGTTTTAAGCCAAATCTCACACATTAAATGATATTTATTATATCTTAGTTGAATACTGAGAAATCGATGTGGCAAGTGGGGGGTTTTGAAAAATGTTCTTATTCTTGCTAAGTGCCACTTAATGATTTTAAACTTGTTTTTTTCTCCAAGGAACTTATTTTTACGCTTTTTTAATGTAACATGTTCTGATTGTCGATTATTCACCCCATGAAGTTTATATTATTTTGCTAGAGTATTATCTTGCCAAGCTACCCATTCATCATAATAAACCCGTTTATTTATGCAGTTGCCACATGTTGAACTATTTTGACAGGGAGGTTTTGTTGTTGTAATTCACGTTTTTCATCCCACTGTTTTTACCTCTCTCCCCCTCCCTCCCTCCCTCCCTCTTTCTCTCCTCCTAACATTGTCTTCTGAAGAGTTGCAAATCGAATTTTTGTATAAACATTTTGGAGGAAATTCGGGCATGTGGCGTTTTAGCCACCCAATATTTTTGCAAAACGCCAAAAGCATTCGAAAGTACCAATAATTATTGTCACCAGTAAATTTGTGTTTCACAGCCTGAATACTTGGTACCTTCCCTTTGAACTGGGTTTCCCACCCACCCCGCATTGGTCCTAGGCTTAATTAGATAGTCACCTTGCCAATAAATAGGATATATTTGCATGTATGACTAATCTCGCGTGATGGACTAAATCACGACAAGTAGCCAATCAAAGTGGGGCCAATGGAAAAGGACACGGCCTCGTTAATGTGGTTTCTTTGTGGCATGCCCCGGTTGTACCTTTTTGCCTGTTTTTGGCTTAACCTGATTGATATTCTATTGTGGTTTTCCCTTAGGTGTAGTTTTCAATATCAAATCTTTATTTGTACTTTAATTATTTACGCTTTATTGTTGGGATAAAAGGGGATTGGTTTTTCGTCGGTGTAGATGGGTTTTCAATTGCCTTCATTGTTAACCGTGGATTAATTGAGTTAAGAGTGGTAATTGCCTAAATCTGATCGGTAGAGGTTGAACTTTTTGTTGTCCGTTAATTACCCCGGGACAACTGTCGATAGAGTAATTATTGAAACAGCCATGCCACTTAAAACAAACTCGATGATCTAAAGCGGGTAAAGCGATTTAATCCCCCACCCCCTTCATCGAGGGTAAGAAATAAAGGCTTTATAATTTCGGTATTTTCCCTTTAATACGACTTCGTTTCACTCATTTTGTTTGGTGTCTCTCTAAAAGTACCCCATAGGAGTCTCTGCGCGCTAATCTTATCTAGGTTAAAACTTTATTTTGACCCTCCTTAAGCTATTACTTGGGTGGGCGATAGATTTACCTCCATGTGGTACACTGGACTAAAAAGTCTATTAACCGGTAGTTTACTTCTGACTTCAAACTACCACGACCCCACTTTATGTCATATTTCACAACTTCCAAAGTACTCGCTTTCCCTTTTTCTCTACCTTTGAATCTGTCTATCTCTTCTACATTTGTGAATCACTCTTCTATTCCTCCCTCTCTACTTTTTCTCACTTTGATGTTCCTCCCCTCTGTGAGGTCCAAAGTCAGCTGATGATGACCATCAAAACCCCTGCCATTTGAAATAAATAAATAGTTATTATTTAACCACTGATTGATTAAAATAAAATGGCTTCACTCTAAGTGTTAGAGTGTAGTTAGGTTACGTGGATTAATTGCGTGAATTTTATATGATTTACATTGCTTTTGTTCATTTTTTGTCTTTTCATTCTTTACCCAGTTGAGATAGAAGAACCAAAATGCAAAACGGTGGTAGACAGAACAATTTGATTGAATTCGTCAGAATCGGTCTAATTCACAGCCCTTCGGGTCGACTACTAACCTCTGAGACTTTTCAGGGTGTCTTAAATGTCCAAGGTGTGACCTTGAAACGCAAACAAATTTGGATCCTCTACACGGAATCCTCCAATCCAACCGCCTTCTTTCTGCAAAATCATCAAGGAAATTTCCTGAGTGCTGATGGAAATGGGAGGGTTTCTTTGACCCCCGAGAAACCCGGTCTGTTTGGATCTGTTGTGGACTTCTGCTATTTTAGACATTATTGACAATGATGGGTCTTGTGTTCTTTTTTGTTGCAGGCGAGGATGAACGATTTATCATTCACTTTGATCCCAAGGCATCCGGAGAAATTGCTCTCCAGTCGAAAGCGCACGGATTTTATCTGCATTGGTCTGGAACGGAAATTCGATGCTTCTCAAAGGAACCCGTTTGGTGGGGAATGCGTCTTGGAATTCATCCCCAGGTATATACAACTCGTGATCTTTTGTCTTTTGATTTTCCAAAAATCTTAAATTCCGATTAGTTGAATTTTATTTTTGATTAAGTGTGATTTCCCCCCACCTTAATAGAGTCGAACCCGAAGGCCTCTTTTTGTAGAAACAAAATGGGGGGGGGGGCGGAGTGTGGGTTGTATTCGGAAGTTGTCTCTAATTACCTATATTATTTTTATTTTAAGTCTTGCTTTTTTATTTTTTCCACTAATTCCCCTTGTTTTAATCATCTCAAATGGCTGGTCCAGAAGTCGGATATCGTTTCAATAAGCTAACCTATAGATTGGCGAAAATGTCCTTGTTTGTCTCTGTCCAGTAATTCAATTCAAATTAGCGACAAATTTTGCCCGATCAATTCGCGCCTCTCACCGGAGTAGCCTCTTGATCCTACCCTCCTCCCTCCCCCTCCC